TCTGTATACTCCCTCTATCTGTTTTTAATGCTATTTGAATCATTCAGTATTCTGCCCATAGCATCCTTAAGCACTGCAACTCATGGCTTGAATTTATTAATTTCTTTCAGCTTAAGGAGTGAGATTGGCCCTTTTGATTTTCTGATTCCACCTCCTTGCACATTTCATTATTATATTTTGCCTCGTCTTCCCAAGCAGTCCTTTGAAATCTTCAGTTCCTTCACATCTTGATTTCTTCCCTTTGCTTTCGCTTCTTGGCACTCCAGTGCAATATTCAAAGTCTCTTCTGACATCCATTTTGGTCTTTTCTTCTTCCTTCTTAGTAATGACTTTTTGCATTCTTCATGAACTATATTTTTGATATTTTCCACAGCTTATCCGGTCTTCATTCATTTGTATTCAAGTCCTCAAACCTATTCCTGAGTTGGTTTTTAAATTCATAGGAGATAGACTCAATGCCAAATTTTAATTCCTATGGATATAATTTAACCTTCTTTAGTTTCAATTTGAACTTGCATATAAGCAGTTGATGGTCTGCTCCACAATAAGAACCTGGCCTAGTTTTTACTGCCGATATTGAACTTCTCCAACAGTTTCTTCCACAGATGCAATCAATCTGATTCCTTTGCATCCCATTAGGTGAAATCCATATGTATAGTCTGCATTTGTTTCTCTTACAAAGGTATTTGTTATGAATAAATCATTGATTTTACAGAATTCTATCATTCTATCTCCAGCCTCATATCTGTCAGCAACTCCATATTTTCTGACTACTGATCCTTCTTTCTGATTCCCAATTTTTGCATTTCCATCACCCATTATTATTAAAATATCTTGGTTATATATTCAATAGATTTCTGACTGTAGCAGGTGATAGAAATCATCTATTTCCCCCTCTTTGGCTCTGGTTGTAGCCACATAAATTTGAATGATAGTGGTATTAACAGGTCTTTTTTTTTGCATATGTATATTATCCTGTCACTCATCTATACTGGTTTTTGAGGTTTTTTTGTTTGTGTTTTGGTTCGTTGTTTTGTTGTTGTTTGTTTGTTTTTAAATAATGCCCTGGGCAACAATCTAATTTGAATGAGGTTCAAAGTGAAGATTAGTGTCTTTCGACTAATGACACGAGTGCAACTATCTTCAGCTCCTTCTCTTCTGGTTCTGATTTTATTGTACTTTTTGCCTATATTTCTCTCATTTCAGCATTTCTCTGCTCTTGAAACTTCTCATTACTGTTCATGGGTGTGTGTAATCCATCTTCTTTAGTCTCTCCTATTTTTTTCCCCAAAAACTTTACTGAGAACTAGTAATAAAATAACTTTGTAGTAGCCACAAAGACCATCTTAAATGTAAATTTTTTTCTCTTTGATAATGGACCTTGGACTCATTGCTTTCTTTTTCTCTAGGACTCTGCTTTCTCTCCAGGAAAATTAGCAGGTGAAAACAGATCATTTTCATGGTCTGTTTATCATACTTTGTGCAGAAATCAGAAGCTTGTTTTAAGCCTAAATACAGTTTATTCATTTTACCTCCAGAAGCCTTAAAACAAACACAATATTTTCTTTGGACCCAAGAAAATAGTTGTATTTTCATGCATACATTGAAAAGGCCAACAGTAGAAAGGTACATGTGAAAAATCATCTTATCTTGGTGAATGGCATGATTCTAGCAAGACACATCAAGCCACTATAGTAGAGAAAACATCCCTTTCTTATCTGGGCTGTAAGATCTGAAACTGACACTTAAAAGTCCAGCATGCAACATGGTACAAATTGTATTAGGGACCTCCAGATCACCACATAAATACACAAGTTCCCTTAGTTACCATTGTTAATAGGTTATATAAGCACTTAGAATGTACTGGAGAGACTCACGGGACCCTACTTTTATGGGGTAAACTGTCAACAGTATACAGATACCATCTCTAAGCAGTTCAGCTTAAGTGAGGAATGATAATTGCCCATCCGAAATTGTAATAGAATAGCACTCGGGTTTCATTATGGGAAGCCAGAGTATTCTGTTCTTATGTATGACAGTTTTAGACTTAGTCCTGCTACAGCTCAGGAATTTCTTTAATGGCATTATCTTTTATGAATTAAAAGTCTCATCTGTGGAGATACACAGGAATTTGGACTCTGAGGTAGATATGAATATTAAGTTTCTAGGTATCTGCCTACTTCCCTAGAGGCTGACCTATAATTATAAGTAAGTTCATTTTTTCTCAGACTCTTTTCTATAAATAATTAAATTGAAATTTCAGAGAAAAGGGCAATTTAGTCCCTAACAAGAAAAAAGTGCTCTAGCTGACAGTTAATAAAATAAAACAGCATTTCTTACTGTAGGAAGAACAAGGAGCTCTGTTGGTAGAATACATTATATGTTATGCTCTTAATAGAAAAGCCAGTGGTTCAAATCCATCAGTTGTTCAATCAAAGAAGGATAAGAAGTCTCTCCATAGAAAAATGTTACAGCTTCTGACTGTTCTGAGTTGGAATTGACTTAACAGCAGAGGGTGAAGTGAGTTGATAAGTAAAACAAAATCTAGTAACTAAATCTAGTTTACAAGCTGGGTTTAGAAGACGTTGTGGCACTAGAGACATTATCACCAATGTCAGATGAGTTTTGGCTGAAAGCAGAGAGTACCAGAGGAATGTCTACCTGTGCTTCATTGACTATGCAAAGGCATTTAACTGTGTGGATCACAACAAATTGTGGCTAATCTTGAGGAGAATGAGAATCCCAGAGCACTTGCTTGTGCTCATGTGAAACCTATGCTTGGACTAGGAAGCAGACTTCAGAACAAAGCAAGGAAACATTGCATGGTTCAAAATCAGGAAAAGAGTGCATCATGTCTCCATACATTTTCAATCTATATGCAGAACAAATCATTAAAAAGGCTGGACTTTTTAAAGAGGAAGTGACATCAGGATTGGAGGAAGACTCATCAACAACCTACATTACACATATGATATAATCTTGCTTGCTGAAACTGAATAGGACCTAAAGTGCTTGCTGCGCAAGGTCCAGGACTATAGACTTCAATATAGATTGAAGCTAAACATCAAGAATACAAAGATTCTAACTACTAGGCCAATTGGCAGCACCATGATAGATGGAGAAGAGATTGAGTTTGTTAAAAATTTACAGCTTGCTTGGCTCCACAATCAACACTCTTGGCATCAGCAAGTCAGGAAATCAAAAGACAAATTGCACTGGGAACACCTGCTGTCAGGGACCTCTCCAGAGTATTGAGAAGCAATGATATCAATCTAGAGACTAAGGCATGCCTAATCCAAATGATGGTCTTCATAATTACTTGGTATGCATCAGGTAGCTAGATGGTGACTAAGGATGACAGAAGAAGAAATGATGCCTTTGAGAGTCTTGAATATACCATGGACTACTAAAAAAAAACAAATGAGTCTGTCTTCAAGTGGCTGAAACCAAGTTCTACCTTAGAGGCTAGGGTTTTGAAGCCCCATCTAACATACTTTGAACACATGGCCAGGATTAAAGAAGGACATCATGCTTGGAAGTGGAGAGGGACAGGAAAGGAAGACTCCAGAAGAAATGGATTGATACAGTAACTGGGACAATGGGAGTAAGTGTGTCAGAGTCAGTGAGACTGGCTGAGGACAGGGCAGGCTTCACAGTTATTGTACATAGGTTCACTGTGAGTTGCAGGCAACTTGACGGAACATCAATGACACTATTTTGTATTAATAGAATGTCATTGCTCTTGTCTCAGAATAGTCTTCAGTCCCACAAAGGAGAGGGGGTAAAAAAGAATATCAGAGTAACCTGGAAATCACATATGGTAAAACTAAGGAGCTATTTTTTGATGCTTATATCATGAGGCCTATGCTTTTAAGTCTGGTTTGTGACAGTGATTGCCTTACCACATTTGGTTATTTCCATTAACACTTTCCCTCACTCTAAGAAATTGGGTCTTTTTGTCTTTGCTTACTTTGTGATACCATCTTACTCAAGCAGGACTTCTAGACTACCACCAAAGATAAAAATGTGTGACTTTTGATCAAGAGGTGATTACTGTTCATGTTCTATTGTCTATAGGAGAATTATATCAATACCTTCCTGGTGAGTCTCCATTCTCATCAAATAGGATCATATCTCCAGAAACACCAGTAAAATTGGTTTTCATCAGGGAGTCCAAAAGTTTCCTCCCATCAATTGGTTTCATTGCATCACAGAGGCCCGCATAGCCTGGGCAAAGGGACATCTGCATATTGTGAAGTCCATAGGCCATAGAGTAGATTGCATTGATCACAAATCCCATTTTGGAATCTTGAACATGATGTGTTCTCAGGGTCAAAGAACCTGTTGGAAAACAAATGAGGGATTAATATTAAGATTTGATTCTGCTGTCGCTAAACCTACATGGACCTTAGGTAATAGACCATACCATGGACCACTTTATCATAGAACAATAGTTATACAAAATTCTGATATACAGTATGCACAATAATTGTCTTTTTTTAATGCTAATTTATTTACAAAATTCAAATACATTGTTTTCAAGAAAAGATTCTTTCAATTTCCCTCACCCCCACCCATTAAATTGTACAACTCTATAATTAATCCTCGCTTCCACCCTCCTTCACCCCTCCTTGGATCCTTAGACTCATTCGACAATAATGGTTTTGTGCAATATTTGTCTCTATGGGACTGAGCTAGTTCACTCAACATATTGCTCTCCAGTCCCTCCCATGTTAGGTAATAATTTACAAAATTATTGGTCCTGGATGCTGCATAGTATTCAATTATGTGAATGTACCGTAATTTCTCAATTCATTAGTTTGTTGCTAGACATTTGGGCTGTTTCCATGTACTTGCAATGGTGAATAATGCTGCTATGGACACCAAATGGCAACATCAAAAGAGCAGGTGTGGCAATACTAATCTCTAATAACTGTCTTTTATATTAAAGTTTTCCATGGCATCTTTGAAGATAGACCAGAATTCTTAGTAGAAGATTCATTATACTCTGGGTATAGATATGGATGGGAGTGAATTTATGCCTGAGAAAATGTGTTTTAACATCAAATAATTTCTCATTGCTCTGATCTACAATTCTTTGGTTTTAAAAGCATATTCAATGAGTTCATTTTCACACTATAAAATCCTCGTAAGTAAACTAGTCTCTTCAGTATTTGGTCTCAACTTATCTATTTAGAGTATTTCCCATACCAAAATATAGTCTAATTAATATTTTTAAACGTGCTTTAATATTTAAAATTAGTTAACTAATTTAATTAAAATTTATTGATTGATATGTTGATAATCTGAGAAAGTAATGAAATGGCCATGGGTTTGTCCTTAATAGTCATTTGATAACAGGTAAGTTTTGTAGCCACACTAAGATGTAAAATATGAACTTCAAAGGGAGGTATGATTTCTTGCAAAATGTAAAGTATTTGGGAATGTTTTACTAAAGAAATAGCCTGATGGATAATTTGACAAATAAAAACTAAGTGTCTTAATTTTGACAGTTTAACACATGCTTGGAGTGATGGGCTACAATGCTGAACAAAATAGACATGATTCGTGCTCTAAATTAGTGCCTAGAGGACTAGTTTGCATTTAAGTAGATAAATGTTGAAAAATTCTGAGCCAAGTGTGAATAGGGAGGACATCATACTGGGACTTTGGGAGTTGTGGAAAGCTTTCCATAAGACTTCATTAAAACGGAGCATTTTTGTTAAGTATCAATTAGCTAAATAAGTGGAGGGCAAACTGAAAGAAATGTAACAACTCCAGAAGATAGTTAAGCATTTCCTTGCAAAACAAAAGTTTTTAACATGATCCCAGCTATCTACCCACATGAGTTGCAAACATATGCCCTCATGGAAACCTGCCATGAATTTTTAAGGTAGTTTCATTTATAATTATAAAAAACAGGAAGAAACTAAGAAGCAAATAAAGAAGTGAATAGCTAAATGGTAGTAGATCCATACAGTAGAGAATTATTCAGTAATAAAAGGAAATGTTCTATCAAGCCAGGAAACTGCATAGATAAACTTAATGTAGTTTGTAAGTGAAAGAAGACAGTCTGTGATGGTTTTATACTGCATGACTTCAATTATAAGATGTTCTGGAAAAGGAAATATCAGTCACTGCAGGAGTTCAAGGTGAAGAAGAGAAGGATAAAATGGAGAATCACAGGGGATCTTAAGAACTTACAGAGTAAGTTTGAAGCCCTTAACAGTGGATACATTATTGTACATATTGTCAAGATCCAAAGAACTGTGCAACACAGAGTGATTTCTAATGTAATTAATAGACTTTAAAGTAATGTATAAACACTAGTTCATCAGTTGTAACAAATGCACTACACTAATGTAAGATGTTAATAGTTTTTGGGGATAGTGTTCAGGGGTGGGTAGAGTAATATGTACTCTTTGTACAATTTCGTGTAAATCCAAGACTACTCAGTAAGCAGCATTATGAGAAATGGAGCGAAGTTTGAAGTTAGCAAAATTCATTTTACTAGGATTGACAAGCAACATCATGGTAATATCAGTCAAACATTGGGGAAGTCTGTTGTCAAAGTGCTAAAGAGCAGGAATGTCATCTTAAAGACTAAGGTACGTATGATCCAAGTAATAGTTTGTTTCACATGCTTCCTATGCATCTAAAACTTAGAAAAAGAATAAGGAATGTAGAAGAAAAATTGATGCCTTTGAAGTAGGGGCTGAGAAGAGTACTGAACATCCTACGGATTTCCCACAGAACAAACAAATCAGTTTAGGAGAAAGTGTAATCAGAGTGCTGCTTAGAGGCAAGTATGATGAAACTTCATCATATATCTTGGCCATGTTGTTAGGATGGGCCACTCTCTAAAGACTTCATGCTAGGAAATGTACAGAGTGTGAGAGAGATCTTCAATGAGATAGATTGATACAAAGACTGTAATAATGGGCCTGAGCATGGTAGATATCATAATGATAACACAGGATAGGGCAAGATTCTTACAGTTTGTTCAAAGATTTCCAAGGGTTGTTATGTACCAGTTAGTCACTTCCTACCCATAGTCACCATGTAGATTTGCCTCTTAAGGATTTTTAAGCTGAAATCTGCATTGCGGAAGAATGTCAGGTGTTTTTCCCTGCAGAGTGACAGGTGGATTCACATCAACAATCTTTAGGTTTGCACTCACACAGATAATAGTAGAACGCATTTGGGAAAATTTAAAAAGACTGCCATGGGGAGTGGAGCAATAGTGAGAAATGAGGGGGGAGAGAGCTGTAGGATGCTTTAGATCACCTTAGGGCTTCTGTGCTTTTATATAGAGCAGAGTATCCACTGAAGTGTGAGACTATAGGACTGGAGGTAAAAAGATTCATAAAAATGATCTCACAATAATGGCAACAGTTGTTTACATCCTTTGGACACACTCTTGATTGCTTTCCTTCCTTCATACCATAATAGCTCTAATTTGATCTATATTTAAAGTAAGCCACTGATAGCAAGCTATTCCTACAATTTTTAAGATACATCATTTCCTGCATAAATTACAGTAACTTTGTAACAGGCACCTTGTTGCCATTGGTTTTAATCTTTCTCCTCATTTCAGTCTCTTTATCCAAATAGACTAAAGCTAAATGCATTGTTATGCATTCCAAATGATAGCAACTGCATAGAACTTGCCTATAGGGTTTTCAAGACTCTGTATCTTTAGGGAAATGGACAATTATATCTTCTATAGAGCAGTTAATAAATTCAAACACCTAACCTTTTGGTTAACGGACTATCCTTTTAACCACTGAGACATCAGAAGTCCAGTATAGTTTGCTCTGCTGCAGACTTTTTGGCTCCCTTCTTATTGAGAGGAAAAATAGAAGTTCTACAAGAATATTCAGGGTCCTTTTATAGCACTCATCCTCCTCTTATTTTTTTTAGCTGAATCTCTACTTGTCTTCATATAAATAATCATCCTTTAGCTACTGACCCTTCACTGAGCAATTCTGAAACATGCAAGTGTGCTCCTTCCCTTGTAACTGCTATTTCTTCTAATCAGAACTGCCTCAGAAATATTTGAAACCTCCATTATTTTATCATTCTCTCTGTGAAGTCTTCTCTGGACACAGTCTAAATTACACCTTCACTCCGTTCCTACACACACACACACACAGTGACTCTTTAAATGACTTTTATACATACCATCATCTAATATACACTTTTATTACTCGCTTTTGTATGCATTGCACTGTGTGTCTAAGCAGTTTAACATACCATGGTGTATACTTCGACTGATATGCAGCAACATCCAGTATTATGTATCACACTTTTTTGTGGGTTTTTCCCCCCTTATTTATAGCTCATCTTCTACTAAAACACAGGCTAGATGAGGGATTTCTCTTTTTTGTTTTGTTTACAGTTCCTCTCTCACTATTTAGAATATTCTCTGGCATATAGAAGTTCCTCAATATTTCTTTTTTTAGAGTAAGTATTACTTAAATTAATGTAAACACTATCTCATTGGTGCTTCCTTTATCTTAATAATTTGAATGTATTCATTTTTAAGGCCCCAAGAACAAATATTTCTCAAAATCCACAATAATTTCACATAAGAAATTTAGAAAAGCAAGTCTAAATTTCTTCTCATTTTCTCTGTATGTCCCCAAGATGTCTCTCCACCATCCTGTAATTGTCTGGGCATACACAGAGAAAGGAAATTTGAAATTATTCTGTCTATAGTAACGTTCAACTCCTTCGATGGGGCAGAGAGGACACTCCTATATGGAGAATCAGGCTTAAAGGCGATTATTCAACCTTCTTGCTAAAAGTGAAGAGGATTTGGAAAATGTAGTGAAGAAAATAAAAAACTATAACATTTTGGATGATATTTTATCATCAAGGAAAGCAAAATCCTCACAACTAGACCAGTAAACAACACATTGTCAATTACTTCATTTACTTGGACATACAATCAACATGCATAGAAGTAGCAGTCAAGAAATTAAGGGACATATTCCACTAGGCAAATCTGCTAACTTGAACTTCTTTAAAGCAATAAAGAACAAAGATATTAGTTTAACAATTTAGGTGTATCTAACCAAGCCATCATATTTTAGTTGTTTTATGTGCATATGAAAGTTGTAGAATGAATAAGAAGGTCCAAAGAACTCACACTTTTGTATTGGTATGTTGTCAAAGAATAGTGAATGTGCCCTGGACTGCCAAAAAGCCAGATATGCCTGAAAAGAAACACAACCAGAGTCCTTGTTCTTAGAGGAAGAAGGGAAAAAATTCACTAGGACAGCAGACATTAATGGACTGCTTGGGAGATGGAGGAATAGGCAAGGTGCACTAGAGAG